AAAAATTGCAATAATATCGTATCGTGCGTTAAGTATTGTGATAATATCGTATCGTGCGTTAAGTATTGTGATAATATCGTATCGCGGGATGTATGGTGAGTCCCACCTCTACTAAATAACCAAAAATGCAAAGTTGTAGCACAAGTTGTGATTACATCTGGTTTAAAAAACAAAAACAACAGAAATGACCCCATCTTAAAAAAACAATAGGCATTACTTTTTTCTGCACAACTTTTGCAATAATGAAGACATATGTAATAAATCTGTTGGATCACTGTATTTTTCATGCATGTGAGTATATTCACCTGCTGTGGTCAGGATATCCGTACATGCCTGCTGAGTCCCACTGCTCTATCATGTGGCCTGAGCCTAGACCCCAAAGGTCTGAGCAATTGCTACAGACACAGAAACACACAGGCACGCACACCAAAGACATGCATACACATACACACGCACACAAGTGGAAAAAGAAAAAAAAAAATACAAAATGAAAGCAAACAGATGGTAAACATGAGGCGTTTCATTCCAAATTAGTACGATGAAATCACAGATATGTACAGTTGGTAACTCAATGGCATGAAGGAAGGAAAAAGCTCCACCTTCAGTTTCCCAGTAAGAGACCAACAAGATGACAGATGACTGCAAGACAAATCCAAATCAGACAATAGTGATGTGGTGCAATCAGGTGACACAGAATGGCTCCGTAAGATAATACAATTCCAGGCATGCATCCAATTGTCATTTACTTGACTTAGGTGGCTAATAAGCCGCTAAAATGCACAACTGCAAAGAACACACAAACAAATAAAAATAAAATAAAACCACACATTTGGGCATGTTTTTTTCAAAAACATATGAGAAGTGTGATGTGAAGAAATATATTAATCTAAACATGAATGATATGTGAATGAGGACATTTAAAAATAAATAAATAAATAAATCACTAAACACTTCGTGTGTCAAGACGTGAGAAAAGGAAAAAAAAAAAAGATACAACACTAATGTGTATCTGCACATAAGGAGTTTGTGTGAGAGATCCTGTTGTCTGATTAGAGCAAAATGATTGTCATGCCTGTCTGTGCAAGGTTCTCTATCTCGAAGCTTATCACCCTACTTGCATAGTTTTACAACTACAAGAATCACAGATAGCACTTTGCCTTCTTCCTTTCCTACTTAAAAAGGTCAAAAGTACAAGGTCTCTTGAGTCCATCGTCAAAAAGCCCCCCGTCTGGGAACCCTTGATCTTCACCTATTGATCACTGGAGATAATTTGACACAAAACTAGAACTGTATTTTAAAAGCGTCTTCTTGCAAGTTTAACCAAAGTATGCGCAAAACATTAGGCTGTTGTCATTTAAAATTTCCATTACCACCAACTATCTCCAGAAATAGCAGAGCTGCTACAGTGTTTCCTACCTCCAGTCAGAAAGAAACCTACAAACACCTTGCAATACTCGAGATACCTTTTTCCACATCCTTCACTCCACCCACAAAAAGACCAAAAGAAAAAAAACTTTATCTTAGACTTTATCGTCACTTTCTTGAGCTTAAAGGAAATTAGAGGCGATGTGACGTACTATGCAGCTAAAAGAATCCAAGCTGTGTAGTTACAACCCTTAAAACATACTGTCTAAACAAATGTCTTTCGGTAACTATCATGATTTTATCAGTTCTATATCAGAAACTACAATCTAACCTACATTCCTCAATGAGAAGAAAACAGCAGACATTTAGCATCATGCAAGTCTTGTCTTTTTCATTTACAGGACATGGATGACAACATATGATGAGCCATTCTCATCTGTGCTAAAATCTCTGACAACTTCCTCAACAGTTAGACCACTTTCAGATGCACTGTTTAGAATACAGTACATAACCACATACAATACTGTGCAAAAATGTTGTGCTGGCCCTCATTTCTTTGCATCTTGCTTCTATGACGGCTTGGGCTGCATTTCAGCCCTAGGTGTTGGGGATCTTGTAAGAACTGATTGTATCATGATTACAGAAAAGTATCATTAGATTTTGATCCACCACACAATACCATCTGGAAAGCATCTGATGGGCTGCAACTTTCAGTCTGGCAATGATCCCAAACACACTCGAATGGAAAACTGTCAGTTTCAGTCATTGATTGGTCTCCCCTGAGCCTGGACCTCAATATTATTGAAGTGGTAAGGGATCATCTAGACAGAGAACAAAACAAAAGACATCTGGCATCCAAAGAACTTTGAATGTCCTTCAAGAGAACAATTCCTGAAGACTACTTAAAGAAAGCTTGCCTAAGTTAGATCAAGTCTACTACAATTGTACAAACCCTGTTTTTGCCTTTTATACTGTATTTACATTTAGGTTTTTACATGTTTGAATACATCACTGCACATATTTCTACAGTTTCTTAGCAAAATATAAAGAAATGATGGGTACCTTAAAACCTTTGCAAAGTACTGATTTTATATCTATCTATCTATCTATATCTATATCTATCTATATCTATATCTATCTATATCTATATATATACGCGCTCATCCATTCAGAGTACATCTACACAAATGCATTAAAGACTGCAATGTAATTATGTCTGTCTGACCTCAGCCAGAAATCTGACCAGAGTGCACTGCTGAGAAACTATCTGCCCACCAAGGACGTCGTCTAATATTCCTTAATACAGAAGGTGAACCTGTGTGTGCTACAAGGCCAAAAAAAGGAACAAAGAAATACAGTGCAAACTCCATCACATTAGCTGCATTTACATTTCTGGTCACCTCACAAAGCCCTCAATTGTTTCACAAACTAAGTTACAAAAAAATGGAAGGAAAGCAGGAAAGCACCAGTCTGCCAAACCAGACACATGCTAGTTTCAACTCCATTATATTCTCGGTAAATCTGACCAGCATTCTCTGTGACTATATGGGTTTCTACCCCAATACTCCAGCTTCGTCCCACAGTCAAAAGGTGAGCTTGTTTTGTTAATTGGCCATGGATAAGAGGTAGATACAGTGCTTTTAGTGTACAGAATAAGACACTTGCATGGATGTATGGTTAAATGTGGCCTGTAGTCTAAAGCACATATGTAGGACTAGAAAAATGTTATTGAAATGCCAATTGCTTTGAACACCTGATGTAAATTAGATCTGAATTTTCATTTCTTTTTCTTCTCCATATCTGTCAAAAGCTACCAATAGAAAGCAATGGGTTGAGTGATCAAGAATAGCACCCATCAATTCAGTGACAGGCCAGTCTGAGTGTGCTGATTTATGGTCAGCATAAGTACGTAGTGTGGTACTAAAATAATACCAAATTATAATTTGTAATTAACATGAGGCTTAAGACAAAAGAGAGAAAGACTACATTGCATAAAACACTTGAGAAGGGAAGCTTCTAATAATCCGATCCTCAGTGAATTAATGAAAGGTGATCACGTGTACTTTGTTGGGTTTCCATGACTTTTTTGTCTCACCTCATCTGGAGACTTCCAACACCTTCTCATGTGACAAACAGAAATATACTGAAGCCATATGTAAGAGAGGTAGCCAGCGACTATTTGAACTAGGTATTATGGCAAACAGTTTCAGAATGAAAAGAATAAATAGATGCATTTTCTTTTGTTTTTTCTTCACTTGTTTGCAAAAACTGCAATTTGTTAAGAGAATATTCTTCACTGTAACAAACTGCACGACTCATTTTTTAATAGAATTTCATCAACTTTTGTAATCATATAATGTTCATCATATTTCAAACAGTTTGTTAACTGGTGCAGAATGCTTTACATACCAAAGGTATTCTTAAGTTTTTGGACATTGCTTCAACAGCTATTCACATTTGGTTGTCTCTTACTTTATTGCTTGAGAGTTGTAATAACATAATTTCTACAAAACTTACTGGACTTAAAGTGCTTCATGAAGTGAAGTGGCCAATGCAGAGTGCTAATTTAAAAAAAAAAAAAGCAGCTATTTAATTAGTAACGCCTGCTGTTATCTGAAAGTACTTAAAAGTATGCTACCAGTTAAACAACATTATGCTCCTACCTTTGAAGCCAGAGACGTTTATTACTTAAATAACATTTAGATCTTTGATTTGAAAATAAACTTTATAGAATTAGGAGACGAGATGGTGCAAACTACTGGCGCAAGACACAAAACTATTTCTGAATAGATTTTAAAGATAAATTCTAGAACAGGCACGTTAATCTTTTCACTGTTTTCGATCAAATTCATCCGAATGATCAGTTATCGGTATAATGTTCTCAAAGGAAACACTGAAATCAGCTCAGGCAGTTCATATTCTTAAGGTGCAGAAGACCACAAGGCTGATGCAATCAAAGATTATCAGAGAAAAATCAATATAGAGCAAACTCTGCAGACGGTGTGAATGCACCCCCGAGTTCTGCATATAGGTTAGTGAGTTCTAATGAAAGCAAGCACAAGATGGTTTTGGTTGGCAATGCATGCAGGACATCTGTTTCCTCCAACCTGGTTTCACTTCTGCTGCCTTGCTAACCTATGGCACAAAGTATTGGGGAAGTGGACCCACTGTTGCATAATGGAGACTTCTTTCTGCAAATGTGTGGGTGCCTGTCACTCTTTTTCTTACTTTCATGTGTGTTGATATACCTCACTGCACTCACTAATTTGCGGTATTGTGGCACACCATTCCATGCTGCCAGCAGATTTGTTTTTGTGTGGAAGTGTGACAGTGCTGAAAAAAGCAACTGCATTGTTCACTGTTGTAGTCTTCATTTTTAACCATTCAGTGGAAATGAAAAAATTTGCTTTATATAAATGTATTAATGCACAAAGCTGTTGTGAATGAGCGTCTACAGTTCAGAGACAAAAAAAACAACAACATAGAAATACAGGATCTCTGGGTCCCTATCTTACCTGGGTATGGTGACACACTTTGTGTTGCTGTTCTGTGTACTGATCGCTTTCTCTAGCTCGTCCAATTGTCCCGTCTTCTTAAGCTTCTTTACCAAGCTTTTAACTGCTTTTTCACACCACTTCTCCTCCTGTCCACCTCCATTCTGCTCCCCAACCCCTCCGATTCCTGCTCCTCCGCTCCCCGCTGGAGTCTTCTTCCATCCCAAGAGCCGCTTCACAACAGGTGGGGTGAAGGGAAGGATGGAGGACATGGTAGCTTGTTGAATGTTCTGATGCCCCTCTTAATCTGTCTTGAGTTGGGAAAGAAGGGTTTGGGGGAGTGATATAGTTGACTGGTCTGAACTCACTGTTAATATACCCAGCGTATGTATGTCTTTTACGAGTAATGTTTGATCAGAACTAAGGCATTGGTCTTCAGAAGTCAAACTAAATATAGGGATTGAAGGGGAATAAATCCAAAGAAACCTAGAAAACAGAGAGAAAACACACATTAACATTTGTGCACGAAAATATTAAGTGAGATGAACAATTGAATGTATTTCTTTTAAACTTAAAGTTGTTTTTCTTTTTAATCATTTGCATCACAGCTTTCCACTATCACCTCTCCCACTGCACACGAAGCACAAAAATTTGATGCATCCGTATTAACAACCGTCTCTCACCTCTCATATATTGTTTTTTTTTTATTAAAGCCATTAACACCTAACTTTTGCAAACACTTTAAACAGAGACATATTTTTAGGACTACAACACTCACAGGTCATTTCACTGGCTATTTAAAGATATATAGAAATGATGAACAGCATTTGATTTGAAAATCTGAGTACTTAACTGACATAGCCTAAAAAAAATGCCACCAATACACTATTTACAGAAACATGTTTCAAGTACAGGCAACAGAGCAACACTTATACATATTTATGACAGTCCTATATTACAAAGCAGTATTGGGGGCTTAGTGGAGGAACTTTAGGTTCAACCCAAGTTTTGAAACCCACTGCCTACTTATTAACTTAATATAACTTTCACTTTTGTCATTTTCTGGCAACAACTAATTAGACATACCCTGTGGTTACTAGCAGTTTTTAAGCAATTTTATATGTTGTTGTTTAGCCTTTAAAATAGTTATATAACACTAAAAGAACGCCAAGGCTGGTATAAAGCTTTGACCTTGTATAAAATTTGCAGTTCTACTTACCTGCCAATTTAAATTCTGTTTATATTTTTGTTCGTTACTTGCTCTCACACAGTCTAAAACCACCAGGGTTGCATCCATCTTACCAAGCTAATGCTCAACCTGTGCTTCTATGACAGAGTTGTGGTGCTGAGAAGTCTACTAACTTACATATACAAAGCCTACTTGCTGGTTTTCTACTGGGCTTTAAATAGAGTTTTTATGTGCTGCTCCAGTCTTCCTAACCACACATTAATATACTTCTTATTTATATCATTTACATACAATGCCCACCAGACACATACAATGCTGCTTTGGTTGCAGTAAATGTGCTACTTTTAGCTTGACATGTGTCTTTGACCACTTCATATTTTCTATTATTGTAGTTTTCTATTGTAAAGTAGAATAGGCCACCCCGCTACCAGTAAATGTATGCATGTTTGTGCCATATGTGGCCAACACCACTGTGTGAATGTGCTCATAGCTAGACTTGAAAAGCCTAGCTTGACTTATCGAGTTGATAGGAACCGTTGTGTGACCACTTAGCCCGACTGCCGATGTTAGAGTGAGTGAACCCAAATATCACAATTCATCCTGGTATACTGGATTTGCTTGTTAGTACAGCCCCCTTGCATTTCACTATTTACACCAAATTTTTTGGTCCCTAATGTAGTTATTCAGCATCACATGCATGTTGTTCATACAAATGCAGCTCTAGACAAATCAATACTAAACTTTTGAAGGATCCTAACCCATATAAATCTGTTATTCCAAATAGTGGATGGTGCACTTGATCCTGTTCCCCAGTATATAGTCGGCTTTGGAAACAACTAAAGGGTATATATAATTATGCTAAAGTATTGTTTTTACTTAACAGGGAAGAACACCCATCTTAGGTAGCAATCTATAGCATTTCTGTAACCAAAACCTGTTATTACCCTATCATAAGGAAACTGAGGACTGTTTAATCCTGGTCAGTAGCAGGTTCCTAGAGGGAATTTCAGATGAAACCTGCTGGCCCACCTACTCCTGATAAACTCTTAAGCTTCCAGGATGCTTTTCTTTAGACTTTCAATCTGATATTCCCCTTCACTACAACTGAGTGGAGCAATTCTAAACCTCAACCTCACCCTCAATTGGACTAGCAACTAAGCAGAAAACAGCTCATGAAATGTGGAACACACACTAAACACCAAGTTCAGGACACTGATGTGAGCTTTGACTCGCAAGTGTAACCTCCTCCTGTATTAGACCTGTCTTTTTTTTATTGCAGAGAGCCATTTTCTAGCCTATTGACGGAAGCACACATGCTCAGACTGTGCAATTCAAACAGGACCTCCAGAGACAACTGTAATTGAATTACTAAAGGAAATTTGAAAATGCATCTTCTTTGCGGACTCAGTCTTGCCAAGACGTATACTCCATTGCTTTTGGATTAGACAGCTGCACTACAGATCAATGGACTCTAATAAATCCAGACAGAACTACTGGCAGATGCAGATTTCTCAAGTTAGCTGCCAGGTGGAAAGGATAAATATCCTTAGTGTGTTACTCTGAAAGTCCAAGCTCCTTCTAAGAATTATTTTCACTTAATGCTTAACCCTTGGACTCCTACAGTAAGAGCAGCTTCCAGAGAGAGACCTTTCCTTAAAATAATTAACTACAAGCTTAATTCTGTGTTTGTTTGATACTGTCCAAACAGCAAAGCACGCCAAGCAATATTTCTAGCTGCAGTACGCAAAATAACAGCTACTGGATGAAAGCTTAATGGCTTTTTCAATAAACCGATTGAGTTCAATGAAAAGCAATTATTTGGTCCACATGAAGGATCACTTAAGCGTTGTGGTTAATATGCTGAAGAGAAGCAATGGTTTTTCGAAATAACAAAATCTCAGGGACAAGCCGCTGGCGAGTGTGAGAGCCTTCAAAGTGAACACAAAGTCTCAATGCAAGTTAAGGAGTCAGGAGAACAAAACGTGCCGATTAGGCCGTTTGTTATTTGCTCCTCGGCCATTCGTTGATTCGTGTCAACTCGAAATCCTGGCATACTATCGGGATCTTACGAAGGGAATAAGCAACAATAATATGTCTGCAACGATCTGTTTGGGTTACTTCTTCTCCGAGATCGCCTGCATAACACACGCGATTCGAAGAATAAGCTAACGCTACTTAATGGCAAGGGGATGTAGACTTCAACGAGCCACAAAAGGCGAGTTGGTCTCATTGCTGGCTGTCATTTGCCCTCAGCCACATATTGGTGAAGATATTAGGGTTTCTTTTGTCTCGGAATGACTGATAGTTCCCCCTCATCCTCTTCACCTCGCCCCCCTCTCTCTCTCAAAAAAAACCCAAAAAAAACAAGAGTGCGAAAAAATCTGCTAGCAACCTTGCTACTTTGTCACAGACAAACAGGTCTGTGGCATGTTTTGTCGCTTACAAATCAATTCTCTTTCATTATTTAAAAAAAAAAAACACGCTTACCCAGCACCGAGATAAAGTGAAGCTTAACAGTCACTGGAGTACCTGTGAAAAAAGCCTGCTTGCTCATTTTGAATTCATCCGGAGATACTTTGAAATGTATTTTCCACCTCCTAGCCGCCGGGATGATGGCTCCTCATTCAAAGCTCAACCAAACATGTATTGCTTCACGCAAAACAAACGTAAGAAGACTTCACAATGCCCCGCCCCCCAACTGGTTCTATTGGTCACATCCGGGGATTTAGCCCCAAAGCCCTCGACTGTTTAGCCCGTAACCTGTTGCCAGACGCGTGCTCTATTGGTCTGAGGCAGTGTCCGTCACAGGGTGTTATGCATGGAGGTATGTCAGTGTTACCTTGATTATCTTTATAAAATTGCATAATACACTTGTACACTAACTGTATCTCTGTATCTACACGCACACAAACATACTGACACACAGAATATATATATATATATATATATATATATTCTGTGTAGTTAAGTGAAACCTTAAACCACTAATCATTTATAATTTGCGGTTGGGTGGGTCCAGACAATCTGGCTACATCATGCAAATAGCCTCTACACCTGCAACGCATGTAAATAAAATCAATGTGTTGGCAGGAGACAGTACAACAAATCATGTGGATCCCTTTGTTCTTTTTTCCCCCCTCGTTATGCTTAAGCGTCAAAGAGCCAAAGGAGCGCATGCTCGATGCGCATGGGACTCACCTGGGACACGTTGCTCAGCTGCGGTTGAAAGTCCCATACGCTGAAGGACCAAATGATGCACTACAATACAAACTGTGCTACACAGCTGCGGCTTAATAACCAGCTCATGACGAGGCCGGATGCTAAAACTAAAACAAGAAGTAGACACCACAGGTGACTGTGCCTTTTTTCCCACTCGCCATAACCAACGAAAGTTCCCTCGCTTGTAAGTACTTCTGTGTTTCCTCTTTCGTCCCTTGCCTAAACCTGTAAGAGTTTGACAGAATTGTAGGAAACACATGTAGCAGTTCTAACAAGTGTATTTTGTAGACTAAAAGATGCAGGCAAGTTTAGTCTATTCATCCATCCTTGGAATTAGATAGATGTAGAATCAATAGGCCATTCTTTTCAAGTCAAATACAATATGGAAGCAGTAACTGATGAAAGAGGCAAATAATCCTTGTTGTTTCATAATACATTTTCCACATTGTTCCTACAGGGGCTGAGTACCTGTCGACAGGTAGGTATTAGATGATGTTGTGAATGTGTAGAGAAGAACAGATAATAAACCTCCCTGGACCATCACTAAGGAGACAAAAACCTCCCTTGAGTTGATGGCAGTGTTTGCTATAAAACCTCTTATGAGACTCGTTCTGTTGTATAAATCTGTACAGTGAAGGCAGTGCCATTTTTCTTTCTCTGCTTTGCATTATTATCTTTAAAAGAAAGCCTCATGTTTTTCTGTGTGCAGGTGTGTGTCTGCTTTGTATACCACAGGCAATGGGAAAATGCTGCAAACGCAATGGGAGACTGCTGTGCTTGTGTCTGCTGCCTTGTATGATGACTGGCCATCTTTTAATTTATATTGGCATCTCCATATTCATCACCATCTCCTACGCTCCGCCAAAAATAACTATCCACTATATTGCTCCAGGGATTTCTGCTAATTCTTCAACTATGGCCTCCCATCCACTCGGGCCTTTCTGGAACCTTCGTTTGGAGGACAGTGCTCTGTGGAACCAGCTTCAGCATGCTTGGGACCGTGAACACAATCCACTACTGATAGGAAACACAACTCACATACAGAGGAAGCCCAAAGCTAAGTTTTTATCAGAGATTAACAATGAATGTATTTCTGACAACACATCATACAAGTGTTCAGTCCCTCACATGCAAGATATAAACAAGCTGCCAGAACAGATTAGGGCATTTATCAGGTCAATGTACTACAGGGAGTACCCCCTTCTTATCAACCAACCTGGTATGTGTAGGAAAGACAACAGTAGCTTTGATCTGGACTCTCCCATGCTCCTCATGGCTATCAAATCTCAAGTGGGAAACTTTGAAAATAGGCAGGCAATCCGTGAAACATGGGGACGCAGTGGTCTGGTGGAAGGGGAATCAAATAAAAAAGGTGGATTGGTGCGCACAGTCTTTCTTCTTGGAAGGCAGGACTCAGGTACAGGTCCACACCCAGACCTAAAAAATCTCCTGGAGCTAGAGAACCTGAAGTATGGCGATATTCTACTGTGGGACTTCAGAGATACTTTTTATAATTTGACCCTAAAGGACTTGCTGTTCTGGCGATGGTTCGAGCAGTACTGTCCCACTGCCATCTTTGTTTTCAAAGGAGACGATGACGTCTTTGTCAGAACAAATGCCCTTCTGGATTATCTGCACAAGAACGAGGAGGAACACAAACTACAGCTACTTTTAAAAAGGAAAACTGAGATGGATATGTTCATCGGGGACGTGATTACTAATGCAATGCCAAACCGTGAACCGTCCACAAAATACTACATACCAGAAAATTTCTACAAAGGAGTGTATCCACCCTATGCTGGTGGAGGAGGGGTGGTGTATTCTGGATCACTTGCACTACGTTTGAAAGAGGTGTCTGAGAGGGTCCACCTTTTCCCTATTGATGATGTGTATCTTGGAATGTGCCTGCACAGACTCGGACTTTCTCCAACCCATCACCCGGGTTTTTTAACATTTGACCTCCCAGCAGGAGAAAGGGAAAATCCTTGTGCATACAGATCTGTTCTGCTTGTTCACAAACGGAGTCCCAAGGAGATGGTTACTTTGTGGAAAAAGCTCCGGAACCTGCCTGGTCAATGCTAAGGCTCATTTGCCAACCAAATAGGACTCAGTGAGTACAGGATGACTGCTACAACCACACTCACTGGCTTCATCTTCATATCAATCAGGCTTTGTCACATTACGTAAGGTCACATAATGGACATTTCCTGTGTGGAGTTAAAAACTGAATAGAAGACCAATCTACCTCAAAGAGGGTTTGTTAATAAGGCATCACAGATTAAGGGCATACATTCTGGCCCCTTATTCACCATTTGTATTTATTTACTCTTCTTTAACTTAAAGGTTTTATTTTCTTAACTATAGAAAATATTTTACCATTGTAAATGATTTAGATGTATTTATACAATGGCTGGTGAACATAGTTTTTTTTTTTTCCCCTTTCTTAAATTTCTTGGCACTATTTTCTTCCCTTTAAGTCAGCAGTTTCTCTTAAAATGTTCTGATGTTTAACTTTCACTTCGAAACTGCAACACAGCTTGATTAAATGTATAATTTTCATGTGATGTCTTCTGTACCTCAAAAAAAGCAATGCTTGACTTTGAAAGGTGTGTATCTACATGGTTGTAATCCTTGAAAAAAACTTTGTCTTTTTTTTATGTTCTCTGCTGCCAGAAAAATGTTTTTTTTAGTGTCAATCTATGATGCTAACTACTTCCAACTTCTTGTATTAAATCATAAAGCATAAAACAACGTCTTTCAAGTCATGAAAATCTGAAAATCACTGATAAAGTAAAATTATGCAGTTGTTATTCAAAACGCTATAAGTTGCCTTAAACATGGACAATGTTCATGGGTATATAGATGTTGTAACACTGGAGTTTGGTTGTGAATAAAAAAAGATGAACTTTAGCATTTCTTGAAAGATAAAATACTCAGTAAGAGTTTAAGTGCATTAATAGACACATTATAAATCAGCAGCATGGCACAAACAGCAGAGATCACATTTAAGTAAATATTTCCGCACTTGCAGTCTGAAATGTTTATGGATAACTCTAGTGTTTGGCGCGCTCGTCTCTTCTTTCTTCTTGATTATATTAGTAGCCCATTCTTGTCTGGTCTCAGTTATTGATCTTAGTACTAATAGGCAGACAGTGGCTTCAGAGTAATGCATTTGGAGGAGTCCATCCAAAGAAAAGACAAGAAAGATTGTTAAGATGATGAATACTAAACACAAAATATATATTTTTTAAAACATTGTATAAAAACAAACACCCTAATTGTGTTTATGTGTACACATATACATTTACATGTGTTTATATGTGTGCTTTTGTTGAGATGATACTCAGATTAGATCTGACAATATTAGCTCATGATAGTTTAGACAGGCATCTAGTGTTGCAGTGATGCAAATGAAGGCAAGTTCCTGAAAACACAGGAGTGATGATTTAATGTTAGTAAACCTGAGTAACAGCCCCACCCAGTGAAGCTCTGTGGTAGTGACCAGAAGGTTCCTGCTGAATTTTGACCTCTTTTAGTTATAAAAGAGGTCAAAAGACCTCTTTTATAAGTTTATAAGTCCTTTTTTTGAGAAAGAAGAATGACAGAAGGGATAAGTCAAGAGAACAGACACTTGAACATTGTTGCATCTCAACAATGCTGATAATTTATGATTCTGTGTGCTTTAGTATTTTTTATCTGATAATGAATAAATATCATAAAAGCTAAACTGTGTGTTTTAAGTCATTTTGTTAAAAAATTGCCTTGCCTGAATGCAAAGAGGTGACATTCCAGTGAATCCATAATCGTTAATATAATTCTGAAATGACAGATGTTTTTTTCCTTGTTTTTTATTTTTGTGTGTTCTTTGACCACAGTGGAGAATACTTCTATATTTATATATTAGTATTATTTTTAGTACTAGTGTTTTAAGTGGAAATTGATCGCACATAGGAAAAAAAAGGCACAACGTTACAGACAATACATCCTTGATTATTTGTGTACATTGATGACAGTATATTTCAAGTAGTCCTGTAACCTTCTTTGTCAGGAAGAACATCTGTACATGAAGAAAAGAACCCTCATCAGCTCAGTAAAATCAAAAACTGTGTGATTAATTCTTAGAAGGTCAATATCAAGGTTGCTTTTGAATTTACAGATGTATGCTGAAGACGTTTATTAATGCAGCTTTCATGGAAAA